GGTCTTTAACACTGATACGCTACTGACTGTTCGGCCGACCACTCATCAACAGCCGTTCCTGCTGCTGGAGGATTTCCATGGCCCCCGGCATATCGTAAGAGTAGCGCTCTGGGTTTTGCTGCGTACCACCTCGGACCTTCACCCGACTTATACGTCAAACAGAGGTCTTCTACCTCCACCTTCCCCCTCTTTCTTCTCAAAATACAAATTTTTGCAACTTCTGAACAGGGAGTAGCAGGTCTTATTGTTGCTATTGTTGCAATTACAATCAATTGTTAAAAACAAATAAATTCTATGCGCTCCTAGATGTGTAACGAGCGTATGGGTCCCCGACGACGGCGGCACTACGTTCCCACCTGTTCCCAAAGTTGCACACTCCCAACTACTTCCATCAGCGTCGGCACCACCACATTTGGGTTGCCGGCAGTGTACGTACAGCTGGCTGCGCCGGGCTGCGCGCTGCGGCCGCTCCGAGCCGCTCTGTCTGACGGGTCTGATTACAGGGCAGAGCAAAAACACCGAGTGGCGTTAGGCCCCGGGTCACACACAGACACACGCGCGCACGCGCAGCGCACGCTCACGGTCAGGGCCTCCTCGGGCAGAGCCGCGCCGGCCACGCCCCAGCTGGGCCGCCATGAGCATGACACGACGATAGTTTTGACTTTGTGTTGTCGCATCCAACATCCAGCCAGCCAGCCGCGCTCAACGGCAGCAGCAAAGACCCCGCGCGGATAAATTTGTACCCCAACTGGACGTTTTACTGCCAAAACAGCAAATCCCTTCTCAGATTCTGGAAAGATGAAACAAAATTTAAAAAACACTGAGATTCTTTCATGTGAAAGATCCTTTAAACTCTATATTTTTGCATTATTATTTTGTAAATTTGAGTGACTTAAAAAAAAAAACTTGACACGTTACATTCCACTTGTGAATTAAATTCCTTCCATCCGCGACAAAAAGAACAACGGGTATTTAAGCCTGAGGCCTAACCCTGTGGAAAGAAAGAGGAAGAAATTCGGCATGTTCGTTAGAAAATAAGCAGAATATACCAATGGTGCCAAAAGTTCACAGTGATAGTGTCAGAGCAAAGCGCACGTCAAGTCAAAGCAACCCAGTTCACCTAATTCTCGGCTCAATGATCGCTCTTTTCTAACCCCACAAAAAAAAGCAATAAAAAAGTGGTATGTGTGGTAAATGAATTTTGTGAAACAACACAAGTGGCGAAAAAAAACAACGTGCGAATAGAAAAAAAAAGAAGTGTGGTAAACAGATAAATGCTTTATTATTGAGTGGAACATTCATTTCTATTATCTGGTCGGCGAGTGCTCGGCAGCGCGTGGAGGCCCCGGGGCGCGTGGGGGGTGAGGTGAGGTGCGCTCGAGGGGAGTGACACCCAGGTGCCCCCCACCCACCCCTCACACGCCAAGCTACATTGTTCACCGGGCAGGTCACGGGGGCAGCCAGACTGGCTGCCAAGCGGGAGAAGGGGAGGGGGCGAGAGAGAAATTGAAAAAAAATCCCGCCACTAAGAGGATTTGACTCTCTCTCTCTCTCCTCGGGCAGCCCCTGTAGGAGGATCAGACCCTGCAGAGGTCGTGTGATAACACAACTTCGCGCGTGAGCGCACATCAATATCAGGGAAAGGTGGGCAAAGTGTTGGTGCGAGAAAGTGTGTGTATGTTTTGTGAGAGCACGTGTCGGCTGGCTGGGAACGTGTTTGTGTGTCTTTCCTCCTCTCCAAACTCCATCGTGGCGAAACACACATTTACAAGCTACCCTACCACATATCACACGGCACCTGTTTGGAAGTAAGCTCGTTAATTCAAGCCCATGCTAGGAGATGTTAGGTGTCTACGACTGCCGGGATTTAAATTAGATTAGCAAGGCTGG